GATGTCGCCAAATAGACATTGTGTTTCGCCAGGTTTGACATTACATGCCCTTCAACTTAATAACCTATAACAGCAGACATTATTAGCATTATAAACAAGAGATTCCGTTATATAGCTCAGACAGCCAGGCGACCTCTAGTGTTGAGCGAAATGTCTCTTCAGCTGTGGCGAACAGGAAAAAAACACTATTATACATTCTTCATATGCAAACGAATAAAACCTCAGTTAAACAAACGGATTCTACCCCAATAGAGATAAACAGTTACCTGCTATGGTTTTAATAATTATAAAATGACACGGCAATGCTGTGCAAGAACTATTTTATGCATGGATGAGTAATTCACTATATTCTTTTAACGAACAAGATGATAAATAAAAGCAACTGAAAATAGGGACTGAAACTATATTTTAGTTCTTACAAATTAGAAAGCCAAAGATAAAAAAAAATTATCTCCCTTCTAGGCCAGACGTGGCATAGTGGTAAGTATACACTGACTGTGGTTCAGGCGGTTCATGGTTTGCATCCCGTTGCAGCATAAAAAATAAAAAATAAAATCGTACCACACTTTGTAGGTGTTATTGCGTGATAATAGTAACAGTTAAATTCTATCGTTAGGTCAGACAAGTATAGCTCAAGAGTTGGTGCTAGCACTGTTGACTAACTGCCTTCATTCCAATTTGTGAGTTTAACATTAAAGACAGCTATGCGCAGATAGCTCTTGCGTGCGTAGCTTTCGCAAAAATGTCAAACATAGAAAGAAAACTCACTCTATCTTCCACCGTTTAATGGATATTCAAATAAACTATAAATACAGTAAAATACTTGTACTTCATGCTTAAGTTGATTTCACGTATTTTACGAGAGCGTATTCGATGTAAAAAGTGCTTGAGTAAATCTAGTTAATCTATAATTTGTTTGTATTTTATTAATTACGACGTAATTTTTTTCATATTACTTATTTGTTTTCTATTAAACTAATCTTTAGTAAATGAGTTCTTATAAAAGGAAATTAAGAGTATCGTACTTCCTTGATTCAGAGAAAGTAGTAGAAAAGCCTAACTGTTCACACGTTTACGACAAACCATCGGACAAGTAACGTATTGGATCAACGCGTTGCCGGGCAAGCCAATCACATGATGTCTCTATAACGCGTTATGGCTGTGTTGATGTGCATATACATATGTTACAGTATCATGCAACAGGATTTTGCTTTGATATCGAATAAATTTTAGTCTTATGTAACAGGATTTTGCTTTGATATCATTAAATTTTAAGAGCTCTTTGATTGACTTTACTACGATAAATTAAAAAAAATCTTTGCTTTGATTTTTTCCAATAATCAAATTTATATCTTGCTTATTTTTATCTCTGACGAACGATTTAAATAATGAAACCATTAACAATTACTTCAGTGCTTTGAAAGGATTCTCACAATTCGTAAAATTTCTAGCGAAATGCATTCGCGAATTATACGTATATTCGTAAATTTCGTGAATATTCCTTTATGTTAAAACATCTGTGAAGTAAAAAGATAGTTGCTAATGATTTTAAAACGTCAGGTGGCCTGATCTAAATAACACCTGATATATCGTGAAAATTCCAGCTCTTATTACTGGCTGTCACACATAGTCTGTTAACTTAATATTTTCTAACAGTGTTTAAGTATAAACTGTTTTACTTGTCTTTTTTTTATTTTTCGTATTATATGTATCCATTTTTCTTCTTTTGAATGTTTTCATACACTTATGCAGATGCTTTGTTTTTTTATGCGACTAAACAAACTAAAATATAGACAGATGTTCAAGAAAGACGCGAAACAATTTCATAGATATTTTTATTTTCTTTCTTTCTTCACTCGATTGTTTGTTTGTTTTTTTAATTTCGCGCAAAGCTACACTAGGGCTATCTGTGCTAGCCGTCCCTAATTTAGCAGTGTAAGACTAGAGGGAAGACAGCTAGTCATCACCACCCACCGCCAACTCTTGGACTACTCTTTTACCAACGAATAGTGGGATTGACCGTCAATTATAACGCCGCCAGGACTGAAAGGACGAGCATGTTTGGTGTGACAGGGATTCGAACCCGCGACCCTCAGATTGCGAGTCGAGTGCCTTAACTACCTGGCCATGCCGGGCCTTCTTCACTCGACGTTTCAACTAACACATTTTTCGAGGGTCTGTGATCGTCATAAGTTACACAAGTGATTTCAAGTTATGGTAAGCGAAAATGATATAAACTATATAATAGAACGGTGCACGTGTGCTGAAAGTATTGTTAAACAAGTTAAAGTCGCTGATCACAGCCCCCCCCCCCCCACGTGGCACAGCGGCATGTCTACGGATTTACAACCCTAGACACCGGCTTTCGATACCCATGATGGGCAGAGCACACATAGCCCATTATGTAGCTTTGTGCTTAAATTCAAACAAACGCTGATCACAATAATAAATGTAAATAATTAAACACAAAAATAATGAAATAAACCTTACAATTAACTATGCTTTTCATAAAACATTAGTATTGAGCCTATTATACTGGAATACTGTTATTATACACTCTTCTAATTCTTGAAAATCCCTAAGGCACGAGATACAGAATGCAGTGTTAAAAATATACTAAGTCTAATAATAATGTCTCATGAATTATAATCATGCTTCGCTAACTTGGAAAAATATATACCTGTGCTATCTGCACTCTGATCCCATCCGGGAAATCGAACACCGGATTTTAGTGTTATAAGTCATTAAACGTATTACTGTCTCATTCTACTACATATCGAGCACTGAAAACAAAATGTCCATGGTTATTAGTCTTTACATTCTTGTAATTTGAAGTTATATGCATATTTTCTAGTTTTATATTGGATAGCGTAAAGCAGTGATTCTCAACCAGGGGTAAATTTACTCCTTGGGGGTAAAAAATTACATGGCAGGGGGTAAATGATTGATGCACCTGATGATTGATAATAATTCAATTCAATTTTGTAAAATGTGTGTGTGTGAGAGAGAGAGAGAGAGAGAGAGAGAATGCTAAGAATGTGTGTGTGTGCTATTTTTGTGCAAAACCTGAATAATTATTTTTTTGACCTTGTTTTTCTGTCCCTTTATGATGGCTATGAATTTTTTGGTGTGGAAATAAGGGGGTAAATGGAGAAATACATCAAGCCGAGGGGGTTAATGATGGAGGAAAAGTTGAGAATCCTTTACGCCGTAAAGTAATGAGATTTTGAACATTTTGTAAAAATAAGAAATATATGTTGAAAGTTAAAGCAGGGTAATACACTAATTGTTGAAAATTCCTCCACTTAGCCTTGTTGTACGCATAGCGTTGTTAGGATAGATGAAAAACATTTCAACATACTCAGAAAATACTTTCAAGTGTAAGGTTCTGAGACGGCTTGAATGGGTAATGAAAAAACTATATTACAAATGTACGACGTTTTGATAAAATTTTGTCATCCTCAGGTACGTCAAGCCGTCTCAAAACTTTATTTTCTAAAATCCTCGTTATCAATTTTTACTTTCAAATGTGCTTCATTTTTTGTCATCTGGTTCTGATACAAAATCAAGAATAATGTGTATCTGATTCGTTGGTAGTGATAATTAATATTTTCTAACACAGAATATGTTCATATTAAGAGAAATTTGTATTTCACTTTTAATCTGAGGTTTAGGAAGATAGTTGTGGCTGTTATTGGATGTGAAAATTGTGTGGGTACAACAGTACTCCCTGTTGTATATAAAATTGTTCTAATCATAGTATAAGATTCCAGTAACATGTTATCGTGTTTATAGGATATTTACCTGCTTTGAAAAAAATAGATGAATTTTAGCTCAAAGCTATATATGACTATTTGCGTTATTTTTTCAGGGATCTAGCCCCGAACTTCAGCGTTATAAATTTTCACTCTTACCGCAGAGCCACAGAGGGGTGCAAATTAATGTATCTAATATCTTATTATTGCTCGATATTTCTCCTGACGTAATAAACTCTGCTGATATAGTTTATAAACATCGTGAACTAAAGAGTTTTTCCTTTTTTCAAGATTAACAAAAATTGAAAACAGTTTTAGACCAAAATGTATGAATATTATACGAAATGGCTTCGAGACGGAATCCGTAGTTAATATTTTAAGGATATTTTGCGTTTACATGATACGGTTTCAGCTCATTCCTTACATTGCATAAGCTCGGAAGTTTAACTGTTATACTGAAAACCTTAGAAATGTGTGTAGAGTTTTATGACTTAATGAAAATGGTAAGTTTCCTTTACAACTACGCGTATCATTTACAATTCTACTAATTAGCGGAAAAAAAAATTATGATGCATCCATTTTCACATTTTCCCTTAATTTGAGATATCATCTGATATTGTTGCAGGTGAACCTGTAGTAGCATCAATATATTTAGTGCTAATATCCAAATAAATACTTAAAGCGTTAACAATGAATTTTTGACGGAAACCTTGCGCATTGTCAGTGCTCAGCTGTTCACTCAAGTTACTTTCTTCTTTATTTGACATATAATTTGGCATCTTGTAGGTGAACCTGCACTAACAATCATTTATTTAGCGCTAATACCTAAATAAACATTTAATAATGGATTTATTGATATAACCCTAGCGTTCAGCTGTTAAATCAAGCAACTTTCTTCTTTATTTGAATAAAACATGAATTTCGGAAAGTTTACATTTTTTACATATCCCAATAACCATACATGTTCTCTTCATTCTTCTATGTCCCATAGATCGACTTAAAGATTCTTAATCTAAAGCAAAGGAAAAGGAAAAAAACAACAACGGATTTTGCCATTCCTTTATTATAGATTTCTTCAACTAATCTGTTCACCATAGAAGAAAGATTACAGTGAGAGAAGTCTCAACAAGAGGTGGTTACTGCAGAAGAACAACTTCGATCGGCGAATTCGTCATGGATACTGTAGAGTAGAACCACGTGATACACAGCCCATAGTACAGATGTTCGTCTGCAGTCATACCTAGTGTAGTGTACGCCTGTGAAGTTTAAAGTGAAAACAAGATATGGCTTCCTTCTGTAACACAACAATATATATTCAAGTTGGTGTAATGTGTGTTCTTTTTAGCTTTGCCAGCAACCTACCTTCGGTAGTTAATCTAGGTAAGTGACGTGTTTCGTTCCTCTAAACTTTCAAGCAGAAAAACAAATTAAGTAAGTTTTCGCAAATCCATCACGTAAATATACGAAATACTATGAAAACTGTTTAATTCTGCAACGTAAACTATGTTGCATTTCTAATTAATTACATTTGTAGCTCTACGTCGGAAAGAAAATACTCTGACGTGGTATTTTTCAGACGTTTGAATCGTAGAAATATTTTGTCAACAAGTGTTGGCTTTGTATCAATCTTGAAACAATAATATTTTTGTCTTTTATTTATTTTTATTCCCATTTTCTCATATTTATAAAATAAGTATTTCTCATGTTTTAAGGACCCCGACTGACGTAAAATACAGCTTGTTTGTTTGTTTGAAATTAAGCACAAAATTCCACAATGGGCTGTCTGTGTTCTGTCCACCACGGGTATTGAAAACCGGTTTCTAGCGTTGTAAGTCCGAGACATACCATCGTGCCACGTAAAATACAGCGTAATTTTTTCAATAATCCCCTTTTCTGGTGTACTGACATAAAGTGTTAGCTTTATGTACCAAAAAGATGAATACCATTTAAATAATAATTTCTACCTAAACCAAAGGAATGGTATTCAAAAACCTGCTATCTATACTAGATAATGATGTATGAAATAAAACACATACAATATATCATATCAACATACAATATATCATAACAAAATGAAATAGAAGTTGCAGCATACATTTTTTTTTCATATAAAAACAGAACTTAAATACAAGTAGAATCTGGCATCACAATGTCAACATTTAAAACATTAAATTATAATGTATCACATATATATCAATGTAAATTTATCACTATTTTCATGCACGTATATTTAATGATATCATATCTCATTTCACAGTACGGCCGGGCGTGACCCAAGAGTTAGCGTGCATTACTTCGGACTTGAAGGTTCATGGTTAGCATCTCGTTGCAACAACAACAACAAAAAAAAATGTTCTCCGCATTTTGGTCTGTGGGTAAGATATAAAAGTGACGGTCTAATCCCAAAATTTGCTTACACTAGCTCAAGAGTTGGCGGCAAGTGCTATGGATTAGATACCTTCTTTTTAGTCTATAATTTCAAAATTAAGGATGTTAGCTAGTGTAGCTTTGTGCAAATATGCGAAAGAAACATCGCATAAGTTCTTGTACTAGCTGAACTGTTTGAACACATTGTTTTAACTTCATTTGAATACGGCTTAACAATATAAGAGTCCTAAGCCTATTATTTGTTAAACCTACAAAACAAATTAAGTAGTAGATCTTTAAATTGCTCATCACCAAAGAGATTTACGCATCCAAGAAGTAATTATCATAAAAACAATCTTCAACTTTTTTAATATAAACAAATATTAATATTGTAATTAGTGTACATATACAGAGGGTCGTGTATGTTATCTCCAACCGATTTTGTATATGAAAGTCAGCAAGTCACAGCCAGTATAAAGTCTTAGTGGATCAACATGTATTAGAACTACATTTTGACCTTATTTGGTGCTATATAGATAGTGTAATACCACCAAATACTGATCACTTTTGTATATGAAAGTCAGCAAGTCACAGCCAGTATAAAGTCTTAGTGGATCGACATGTATTAGAACTACATTTTGACCTTATTTGGTGCTATATAGATAGTGTAATACCACCAAATACTGATCACTTTTGGGAAGGGTATGTAATAGCCCTTTCTGACGAAACATATTCACACAACCAATTAATGAGAAAGTGTCCTGATCGGAGATTTCGAATTTCCTAGACAGTTGTTATACTTAATGGCATGGGAAATCTTGAAACACATGAGAATCCTCGAACTCATGGATCAGTAACAAAAGTGCCCTAAGCAACGTAATTAAGAAGAATCTGAGGCTGAATCAAAGAAATGTAGATCAACGTGAGGCATCTTGAAACACATGAGAATCCTCGAACTCATGGATCAGTAACAAAAGTGCCCTAAGCAATGTAATTAAGAAGAATCTGAGGCTGGAAACGAAGTCAATAAGATATTGATTCACCAAGATGAGGTTTCCTGTCATATCTCCAAGTTAACTGTCGCATAAGTCAAACAGATAGAAAATGAAACACATGTTCTCGTGCTATTCTTTACGAAGAAATATCAGTCCCGTTTATGGATGAATTGCCTATATATTTCTGTGGGATTATACTATTGAAATTAATGTTGTGAATTCGTTGTTCTTGTACACTAAGTGAATTATGAAGACCCAGCACGGAGGATAGGTGTGCTTTGCACATGACAGCCTTACGACAGAGCCCTTTAAAATGAAACTATGCTTCCGGGTTATCTTTAAAATGCCTAGTCATTAGATAGAGCATGACTGAACAGATGTGGCTATATAGACTGAATGATGTGATGATATACATACTCACCGCCTGTTTCCGTCATTACAACAGATTTTGTATTGCAATATATTCAAAATTGAAACAAATTGTTTCTGAAAATGTCTTTTCGAGATTATTTGTACATCAGTTTCATCCTCATATTTAAATGCTGTAAAACCTCAGCTTTAGCTATCACTTAAGTCTGCAGGTTGATTGTTTCTCCTAATGAAATAGAAAAGCAAGCAATGTTTGACATAGAAATTAAATCAGATAATCAAAACTAATCATTAAGATTGTAGTATTCTCAGGTTTAAAGGTTTCACTTAGAGTAATGCAGTAGGAGCCACAGAATGACAAGAGGCTCATCAAAAAATGTTTTATATATCAAAATGTTGTTTAAAAACATTGACAGAATTCAAATCAAAGAAATAATCTAGCCAACAGTTAAAATAATTTGTCCCATACTGAGAAAACTTGGCATTATATACTAAAAATACAGAATTATTCTGAGGATGCAGGTGCTATCCACGTGCTTGACCGTCACTCTCAGTATACAATGTAAGATATTATATCCCTGAGGCATATTCTGAGTTACAAGTGTAACAGATGTAGATATCTATTAAGTATGCAATAGAAACAAAATTGCATAAAATTGTCAAAGTGAGAAATAAAATAAACCCTTTAGCATCACATGCAAAAATAATAAATTAGACATGGAAGTAAAACATATTCAAATACAAAAAGGAAATCAAATATTTTACAAAAGCACCAAATGCAAAACTCTTTTACATAAGGTCAAATAGAAATAATACAAAAAATAAACCTTTAACAATGCTAATCAAAATACAAAACAGTGTCTTTCAACAATAAAATTAAAACAAAACATCACTAAATAACATCCCTTTAGATGACCCTTTAACAAAGGATTAAAATATTTAACCTTTGTGTAATAATCTATTCACGTAATAAAAAAAACAGCATGAAACAAAAATGTTAAAATGAAATATACCCTTTATAATATATATATATATATATATGTATATATATATATGCAAGTGCACCATTAAAACTTACATATACACAACTCAAAACTCAGTAAAGATGACACATAAAAAGGAATAATTACTTTGCCACCCATTTGCAGTTAAAAGTACATACATTATGATATAAAACTAATGAAGTATATAAATAAAAACAGTAAGGAAAATATACATATAAATAGACATAATGAAAACTGAAATCTCTTACCTACTGAAACCTCAACAGAAGGTCCTTTAATGCAATAGTCAATTTATGATGAGCCCTAGTTGTCTAGCAGATCATCTCTTGGACCCTTGTGAAAGCCTCATTACTTGATGTCATCTAGTCCTCGAGGTGCCATATCTCTTCCTCCAGCTGTAAATTAGGCTCCTAACACTTCAACTTATAGTATTCTTCTCAGTGGTCAGCAGACCTCCACCTAGATGCTTGTTCTTAACAGTTACACTTTAGAGTTGGTATCTGCTGTAGCATGGGATGCTCTTTTATTACAATAGAGTCTATGTTGTGAACCATTTTGTGGGCACTAGAATTTCAGATAATGCTGAAGCCTTGAGTTGTCATTGTTGTCCCAACTAAGGTATGGGCGAAGATGGCTAGGGCCTATGGTGTTGTAGACTTTGGTAGATTTCTCAACACTTGAAAGATCCCTTCAAAATTGTATTTTGGGAAGATTTTCTCAGACCAAGTTATTTGATGGTCCTATCAGCGATGTAAGCAAACTGAACATTGATTGTATTTTTCTATGGTGCAATCATCAATGAATCACTTGATTATCTTCTTTAAGCTTCGGTGGTGCTGGCTTGACTGGTGCTGTGGTAGCCTCTGGTGTCATCATCGTCAGCTGGTCAGTGGACAGCCTGACTTCTAATATGTGCTCAGCTACCAAAGGTGGTGTGGTCTAGACAGGACCATTTCTTGATGGCTTAAAGATCATCGGCAGACCAGCAGTTGATCAGGTGCACCATCAACTAATGCATTTTCATCAATGAGCTCTACCTTGATGTATATCAGATTGGCCCCTCGTGTTTTTGGTACAGAGGGATACTGAGAAACATCCACGATGTCACTGAACAGGAAACTTTCATTATATTTTCCTTTAGGTTTCGGAACAGAAGCTTACAAGATTAACAGCGCTTAGATAATGAAAGTAACAGAACTCTTTAGTTGAATATAAAATAGCCAAAAGGGTTAAGTTAGATTTTGAATAGAAAAAGCCAAGACTGAAATGTGAGATCAATCGAGCACTGATTATTCAGAATTTTGCTGAAAAATGTATGGATCCAGTTACAACAATCAACTATCCTAAAATTTACCTTAGAAACAGAGTGTTAAAACAATTTCTTTGGTCAACTAATATTTATTTTTCCAGGCCTATTTATACTCATATGTATAATTTGTGTAAAGAATTATTCCTTTCACTTGTGAACATACCTTTTCCTCAAACTCCATCGAATCTTGCGCTTCACTTACATTCATTTGTGCGTTCCATTGTAGACATTGTCATGCCAAAAATTCATGGCTACCCTGGAGCACTGCCATATGGATTCCATACTGTATGGCTGTTGTGCAAACAGAGCCAGGTACAATAAGAAAAAAACTGAGGA